CAGGCCCTGTGCTGGGTAGAGAGTATCTAGCAGTGGATCAGACATGGTCCCTGACTTCTAAGAGCTCTCAGTCTTGGATAGAGAGACTGTTTTAACGCAGAGCGATCAGCGCGGTAAGACAGAAGCAGAAGAGCCAGTGGGAGCACGAAGGATGGTACCAGACCTGGGGTGAGGGGAGACAAGGAAGCTTTCCTGGAGGAGAAGCCTGAACTGGGTCTTAAAAGATAACAGGTATTTGCTGGAAGACCCCAAGTTGGGAGTGGGGTTGGAGAGAGCAGTTAGGGCCCGTATGAAAATGATCTGCCCTCAGTTTAGTGGGGGAAACCTCTTGAAGAGCCATGAGCTTTGGAGCTGGGTTCCGGGCACATTCAGGGCAGCCGGGGTGACCACCTGTTTCGGATGGAGTAGAGGGGAATTATGAAGGTCCTTTTCCTCTCAGAAAGTCTATGATTGTGTCAAACCAAAGGCAAGTGCTGTGCCAGAGAAGAGCAGGGGGCTTCCTGGGCTCTGGTGAGCCAGGCCTTCTCTCACCAACACTATTTCCACTGCCTTATCTTGACCTGGGTGATGACACCGCAGCCAGCCACTAGCACCAACCAGGACCAGCCCATGACCACCACCCTCCCCACATCCTGCTTTCCTGGCCCCAGCCCTATTGACAGCCCCCAGAATCTGAAGGAATTCAAGACAAATGGTTAAGAGGATAGAGTTAATAAAATTTGAAAAATTGAGGCCTGTCACTCCACTAAACTTTTTTCAATACCACTGACAGAAACATATTTCCCCAATGAGTGACCTTCCACAGCTGTAGCGGGCAGGCGCAGCCGCAGCGGTGCTGCCAGGAAGCCAGTCTGCTATTTATCAAATATTATAAGCTGGGACACACTAATCTGGAGCCGGGAGAGGAGGGGAGGGGTCCTGCACTGCACTGCCTGGGGTGCTCCAGGTGTTGGCCCCAGCCCCAGACAGCCAGTGGGAGGTGACGGATGGCCTGCGATTAGTACTTCACCCAGCCCTCTCACTTGCTCCCAGAAGCCTGACCCTCTAGACCAGCTGCTCGGCCTGGAGGGGCCCTGGGTGGGAGGCAAGGGGAGGTCAGGCCAGGGCACGGGCCATCCTGATGCCTCCAGAGAGGGCAGGCGGGCGAGGCCCAACGTGGTTATTTATTGGAGTGTAATGGTTTGTGGCCGTTGGTCGTGGAGGTGAAATCGATCAGTTGTAGAAGTCAGGTTCTATCAATTATTACAGCAATTAGTCAAGTCAGAGCATCAGGGCAAGGGTGTGGGGGCTGGGTCCTAATATTAGATGGACATTATCCATGGTGCCCCCCGTCTCAGCCTTCCTAAAATGGGAGCAGACGTGCTACCCTGAGGCTCCAGAACCTTGGGGAACCCAGCTGGCTTTCCCCCCTCAGAAGTGGCTGAGGTGGAGCCTGACTGAGAGCCTCCTGGGCTGGAGACAGGCCCAGCACTGCTTTAAAAGGCGTCCCTGTGCTGGCTGGCCCTGGTGCAGACATGTCCTACCTGTCCCCATCCCATCCTTGATGAGAAGTGACACAACTCCTACTAGAAATTACTCAGTGGCCAATGTTTATGGCACACATTTTTCATTCTGTAAGCAAATATAGATCACTGACAGCACTTGTTTGAAGCGGTTAATCTCATCCTCAGTTCTCCCACTGTCTTCCCCTCTCACCTTGTCTTTCTCTTCCCCCGCCCCTTCTCTCTCCCATTTTTTTCTCTCTTCCTTATCCGTTTCTCTTCTCTTTACTCCTCTTTTCTTTCCCTTCTAGAGGTGTCTCCCTGATCACCCTTCTGTTCCAGCCCATATCTAGTGACAGAGCTCCCCTTTAGGCTGCCAAAGAAAGTGGAGGCCTTTCCACTGGTTAATTACAGTTCCCTTTCTGCCCTAGCTGTGGTCCCAGAGCTCCCGGGAGAGGGGCGGGTGCTGTCTGCCACTGGCCCTCAGCCCTCACAGCCCCTCAGTGCTGAGCACCAGAGAGAACCAAGTGGTCTGGGAAGGCCAGGCCAGGCGAACAGGCCCCTCAGCCCAGACAGTACTGTCTGTCTGTCCCTCCTGCAGCACGCTGGTCACACTCAGCGTGAGGTACAGTTGTGTGGTCATCTCTCATCTCCATTGGCTTCTGAAGAGCTAGAACTGTGCCTAGACTCAAACTCTAGGTAGCATTTAATCTTAAAGAGAGGAAGAAGAGACAGAGAAGGAGCAGTCACCGGGGTATGAGGAAAACCTGAAAAAGTGGTTTTATAGAACTCAAAGGAGAAAAATGGCCAAGGTATCAGTTGCTACAGAGTGGTCAAGATATATAGAAAAAGAAAACTATTCCTTGACTTTGCCTGTCCCCCATCATCCTGCTTACAGGACCCTGCAAATACGAAGTGCCCAGAAAGTACTAACAGAATTGAAACAAAGAATGAGGCTCCAACTGAGCCTCTGAGGACTTGCCTACCAATTAGAAGAACATTGACACCCTGCTTATTAGGAAGCTTGTACTTTATTCTGTAAGCAGTGAAAAGCCACTGAAGGATTTTTCAGCTGGGGAATGTCATGGCCACCCTGGTGGGAGTATGGAGAATTAGAGTTAAGAAAATCCGGGATGGTTTTGACTGCTGGTCCAAGGAAATAACCAGCTTTGTGACCTTGGGCTAATTATTTCACTTCTCTGAGCCCAGTTTCTATGTCTGTAGCATGGGAATTTTAATTCTTGCCCCTCAGGATGGTTGTAAGGATTAAATGATATAATCATGTATATAAAGTACAGAGCACAGAGCTTGGCATATAGTAAGTGCTTAGTAAATACCAGCAGCTATTATTATCACCATTTCTAGATCTATATCCAAGAGACATGAAAACATACTTCCACATAAAGACCTGTACACAGATGTTCATAGCCACATTATTCATAATGGCCAAAAGGGGAAACAACTCAAATGTCCATCAGCTGATGAATGGATAAACAAAATGCGGTATATCCACACAACAGAATATTATTCAGCCATAAAAAGAAACGAAGTACATGCTACATTCATGTAGCATGTAACACATGCTACAACATGGATGAATCTCAAAAACATTATGCTAAATGAAAGAAGCCAAACACAAAAGGCCACATATTGTATGATACCATTTATATGAGATGTCACGTGTAGGCACATCTATAGAGACAGCAAGTAGACAGTGGTTGCTGGGGTTGTGGGGAACAGGGAAGAGGTGGTCTCTGATAATGGTTATGGGGTTTCTTTCTGAGATGATGAAAATTATCTGGAATTAGATAGTGGTGATGATTTTACAACTTTGTAAATATATTTAAAACCACTAAATTTTGTACTTTAAAAGGTATGTGGATTATATCTCAATTAAAAATTATGTCTTAATATTGTGTAGCAAATTCCTGTAAGAAAATAGGATTGTATATAAAAGAATTAATTTTTTCTTACTGCTTATAAGTCTCCTTGGCCTGGATCATACTTCCTGCTCTCTGCCCCTTTCCCTTCCTCCTCTCACCTTTTCCTCTGCAGCCCAGGCCGACAGCCACATGTAAATGCTTAATAAATGTTTGCTATTGTTAATAAGTTTATAGGCCTTTAAGAAGCAGAGAGCTTCAATAGGAATGGTTGTATATCATGATATAAGTGTTCCCACAGTCTGGGATTGAGAAATGCTGATTTTTACTGTCCATCAACAAACAGCGGCGGGGGACACACACACCCCCACCACCTCCTCCCACCCAGCCCCGCACTGACTCATCCTTGCCTGTGTATTTAGTGTCCGCAGCCAGCCCATTATATCCTGTGGCAGGGACTGAGTCTCAACTCTTCTTTACTTCTAGACAACACTTACCTAGCAAGAAAGATCAAGGAATGTTCCATTTAACACATAGTTTTGAGCACCTGCTGTGTTCAAGGCACAGATTTCTTGTGTTTTTCTTCCTGCCTTGAAAGGAGTGCCTTTGGAGCAGGGCCAGACCTGATTCTTCTGTGTCCTCAAGCCCCACTCATCCAAGCTTTGCTAAATTGAATGGAATGGACAGTTTTTGAAGAGGAGCATGAGGTGCTCAGACCTGAGCACTGGAAGGGAGAGTCTGACAGCATGGAGGTCAGAATGGCCTTTCCTCCACGACTGCCAGCCTTTGCACACAGTAAACACTTTATGTAGGCTCATGGGCTGCCGGTATGTAACAGAGAGAGGGGAGATGCATGGTTCCCGGCAGGCCCCTTCTTTTTGTCATACTTAAAACTCTTTGCCCTCAAATCATAAGAACTAATGATTGGAGGAAAGCCTGCCCATATACACACACTTGCCAACAGCTAGCATTGGTAAGAGCATCAAACCGTGGTGCTGGCACAGCCTGGTTGCTGGGGATAGCCACACCCTCCCAGAGGACTCAGCTGACTCTGGCAGGCAGGAAATGCAGGAGGTAAAAGAGCATTAAAGGAGAGAGGGGAACAGAGAGCAGAAAGAGGGGGGCCTTTTCACTGTTGTTTGGGACATTCTGCTTTAGAAAGGAGCCCTTTTATATGATTTTTATGAATGAATATTCATCTTATGCAAATGAGTTTATTAATAGGAGTATTTTAATGACTAATGCATTGGTGTTGGGGGATATGAATCTGTGTGTTTGGTATATTTGTTAGCATGTTCATCTGTGTGTATTTGTAGGTGTACAGTACATCTGTGTGTGTCTGTGTAACATATCTACATGTGTGTGGTAGTATGGGTAGTGTGTTTCTGCATGTGTGTATGCACATAGGGGAACCCCAATACTCTGACCTTTATGTCAGAGAGGACTAAGAACTCTCCTCTAAGAGTAGCTTGGCATGTTTTCCCACCATTCTATAATCTCTTAGGTTTTTGTGGCTCCGTATTCCTAAGAGCATTCCTAACAGTAAAATCGGGGCCCAAGCCACCTCTGAGGGAAGGCGGAGGTCTCGCTGATTGCTCACAGAGCCTCTGACAAGCTTCTCTTCTCCTCCTCCTGCCAGGAGCCAACCCCCTACAGAGGAATGAAATGGGACACACACCCTTGGATTACGCCAGAGAAGGGGAAGTGATGAAGCTTCTAAGGACTTCTGAGGCCAAGGTAAGTCTCAGAGCACGGAGAAGGCCTGTGGGCACTCCATGACGCATTTCATCTTTCATTCATTAAATTATGTCAGGCTCCACACCAAAGGCCGCTTTTCCTTAGGTGATTATTGTCTGTTTAAATACAAATCCACCCCCCAGTCTCATCAAGAATAGGAAGATGTCCCTGTCAAGACCAGGAAGAGGCCTGGGCCACTTCCAGCTTCTAAGGATTAACCTTCAAAATCAGTTTTTGAGGAGATGGACCTTCCAGCTCCTTTTCATAGGAGGTAGGCGATTGAGACAGAATCTTTAGCTCAAGTGCTATTTCCCCAGGCCTCATGCATTCTGTAGCCTCATCAAGCAGCCCTTTCCTGTCATTATTCCTCTAGAACCATTTCCTGACCCCTCCTCCCCACACACACTCCTGAGAACCTGGCATCAAGTCTAAGAAAAAAAAATCTGCATCTTAATTTGATCTTCTCAACCCTACTCAACCATACTTTTGAATTCCCTCAAACCAGGGCTGCCTTCTGCTTCTCCCAGCCACCCAGCTCTAGCTCAGAAACTATTTGGTAGAATCCAAGAATTAGAATTACAAATCTCAGGGCTGGCCAAGTGGC